GAACTAAAGATCAGAGTTCATAGAAGAGGTCGACGAAACCTTCAAGGCGCACGCAGCCTTTGTGGAGACTCTCCAGCATCACGTCGTGTCATGTGAACTCTACTGAGACGCAGAGATTCGTTTCTTAATATCAGCTATGAAATAGACTAAGATCTATGTTCTACCAAACATTTAAGTTCCTCTGTGTTTACAGTAATTATGGTAATAAACTTGTGCGCAAAGTGATAAGCCGGTTGCGCAACACAGCAGTTTGCGCGCGCACACACTCCGACACACAATCACTCGTTCTTTGCGTGATAAACATATTTTATTCCTATTTTTACTTAGGATTTTTTTCACACATACTATATTTAATTCATTATTTTTATGACTCTAGAAATCATTTCTGATCACTCAGGGATCACTCAAACGTGTCCTTCACAGATGCAGGAAGTAATTTGCATCTGTTGAACATATGTTAATGAAGGCATGTCAGAGGAGGAGTCTTCACGTCAATTGTGATGTACAAAAGCAATGTGCGTGGATTCAGGCGTAAGCACAGTTTGATACATGTGGATTTTTTTGTGCGTACGCCGTTTTCTGGATTTTTAATCGTACTCCAGGTTTCAGTAAGAAATCCACGCAAGTCTTTGTACATGAGGCCCCTGCTCTAGGAAGTACAATGCATGACTCAGGGACAGACYGAGGAACACAGAATATAAATGCAAATGAACATAACTACAATCACCTGAGGGAGATAAGCAGGAACAGATGAGTGACATACAAAATGTCCATTTCAYCCCCTGCTTTCAGTAAACTCTATCCTACATCAACTTTGTACACATGAATGTGGCAGTTATGCAATAGGAGGTCAGTATTTTGCCACAAAGAATCAATCAGGTGTCAAAGTTAAAGATGTAATTGATTTGCCAAAAACGTGGACCTGCTTCTGAATACAGTACGTCCATGACAAACACATCTCTGATTGTGATACTGTTAAAACACATTGGAAAACTTTGTTCATAAAATCAACATTAGAGGTTGTGAAAAGCTGTCAGGGTGTCCTACTGTTCAACAAATATAGAAATAGAGTTGCTACACTTATTTMAGGCACACTTTCAAATTCGTCCTGACAAACTCTCAGCACTGTAAATCCATGTCTGTTGCTCCGAGTTTTTACAATGTTTACAACGTTTCAAAGGTTRTGAGCCACCATTTTAAAATACTGATGTTTACCCTCAAATCTTGTTGTGGACATCTAAAACTGATAGAACAATAMCATTTATATTAAAGCAGATTCACACATTCTGATGCAATATTTTATGTTACATCAGGGATGGACAACTGGCCGCCGGCAGGCCACAGCTATGCTGCARGTGGCTGTCTGGTATGGCAAGCCGTTGGGGTCATAAATCGGGCGTATATTTACGTGCAAATCCTAACGCGCGGTGCTGTAAATAAYGTGCGAACGCGCGGTGGCGCCACGCGCGGTGGCGTTAAATAACGTGCGGTGGCGTTTTCTAACCTAACCCTAAACCTAACCCTAACCCACCGCGCGTTCGCGCGTAACGCCACCGCGCGTTCGCACGTTATTTACGGCACCGCGCGTTAGGATTTACATGTAAATATACGCCCGATTTATGGCCCCAACGGCTTGCAATAGTCTGGAACCGCCAATGAGCCCCCCACCCCACTAAAGGGTTTTTAAGTTAAAAAAGTTTTCTTTCTTTCTTTCTTTCTTTCTTTCTTTCTTTCTTTCTTTCTTTCTTTCTTTCTTTCTTTCTTTCTTTCTT